GCCTCTTTTTCATTCCATTCAACAATGGTGCTTCCCCTTCCCAATTAAATACACATATTCAAATCTTTCAGCAAATCGGAAAACCAAACATTATTCCCCCTCCATTTCATCTGTTCCCTTTATGTTTTGATATTGAATCCGGTTTAACCCGGTTTTCAACTGGTTCAACCGGCGGTTTTCGCGGTTCAACCGGCGGTTTTTCACTGTTCAACCGGCTCCTTTCCGGGTCCAAATTAACTGACCCCGGTTTTTGACTTTTCCGGTTCTTAGTGTCGAACCGGACCGCGCCATCACCGGGTCCCGGTTGAACCGGTCGGACCGGCCGGTCCGGTCCGGTTCCGACAACATTGGTAAAGAGTATAAAAGAATTTGCGGGCCCTAAATTTTTAAAAAATCCCGGGGTCTTAGGCGACTGCCTACATTTGGTCTCACTTTAGTCCCTCAATTTTAAAATGCATTAATGTCATCATCCCTCATCTCCTAAAATTATTCTCTTTTCTCTTTTTCTTTTTCTTCTTTTTTTTTAACACAGTTGAACTTTTTTCTCCTTTAAGTTCAGGTCGTTCCGACCGTTTCTGCGCCATTCTATCACCGGTCCTTGGCTCCGTCTCGCCCATCCCAGTGTTGTGGCCTCTGGTGATGTAAATTGTTTCCGCTCTATTTGTTATTGCTCACATTTCTCCTTGATCTACTATTGTCACTACTCATTGTGGACTCCCTCGCTGCAAAGGAGTAAATTGGTGGAGATTAGAGTTTTCAAGTAGGGATGTAAAGAGAACAAAGTAGGCATATGAGTTTTCATCATTTAAGGGCATTTATGACAATTGACAACCAATCCCTACTAATAGACACGGCCATGGGCCGGTTTTGGGCCTGGAACCGGCCCGTTGACGACCCGGCCCGACCCGTTGACAGGTGAACCGGCCCGTCGTCCCCGGGACGGTCCCGGTTCTATGAAATGGTGAACCGTGAACTGCCGGGCCGGGCCGGCGGTTCACCCGGATTATTTTAAAAAAAAAAAAAAAAAAAAAAAAAAAAAAAAGAAAATTCAAAAAGCAAATAACGGCGCCGGAACCGGCCGTTATTTGCTTTTTTTTTAATTCCCCCCGCCCCCCCATTTTTTTCCTATAAATACACTCACACCCCAATTTTTCCCATAATTTACTTATTCATCAAATATTTCAAAAAAAAAATTAAAAAAAAAAAAATTTCAAATTTTCCGGGCCGACCCGGAACCGGCCCGTCGGCCTGCCGAACCGTGCATATTACGGGCCGGTTCCGGAAAAAGTGAACCGTGAACCGGTATGAACCGGCCCGAACCGGCCCGTGGCCGTGTCTACCTACTAATACCTTTAGGGTGCATTTGGATGGAGGGATTTGGGGGAGGGATTTCAAATCCATAATAACAAATCCCTCGGACTTGTTTGGATTGAGGGATTTGGAGATGGATTTCAAATCCCCACCCCTCCTTTTTAGTTGATTTTGGAGCAATAGTGATGGATTTCAAATGACTCCAAAATTGGAGTCATTTCAAATCCATTCTCCAAATCAAATCCCTCCCCAAATCCTTCCATCCAAATGGACCCTTACATCAAGAAAACAAAACATGGTATTGTTGGTCAGGAAATTATAAGTTTTGAGATTATACAACTAACTAATATTTTAATCTCAGTATTAAGTATCATATTCCAACCTATGTGTTCAAACCATCCAACCAGAAAAGTCCTTATTTTATATTTGATGTAAACAAATATGTAGAACGTGTAAGGTATATATATACACATTCGATATATGCCACATAATGCAATATAACATCTCTCAAGCCTCAAAGTTAAGCTATATTCCCAAAATCAAAAAATCTCTTTTTTTTTAACTATAAACGATAAAATTTGCGTTATCAGAGTATTGGGATCACTTGCGAGGTCAGAAGAAATACAAAATTTCCAAGATAAAATGAAATTACGTAAATGTAATAAAACTGGAGGTCACAAAAATATTATAAAATAAATAAATTAGCAATTAATAAAGAAAGAAAAATTAGAGAATGTCGGGTTATTCGTGTGATACTCCGCGAAGGAAGAGCTGTATATATCCGTATATTTAACAGTTAAAGCGAAAACTTAATTATGTCATAGAAACTGAAACTGAAACAGACAGTCAAAAAGTGTGAAGATCCGGAAAACATATACAAAAGTCATTAGAGTGCTTCTTCAACCATTAAACACGTACATCCACAACTATATATATATATATATATATATATATATATATATATATATATATATATATATATATATTACATGAGATCGGTGATTAATTTGATGGTAGATAATATTTCGTTTGTATATAGATTTCTCCTGTCCAATGTACAACTTATTTATGGAAGAATGCAAATGGCGAAAAGTTAGTTTTTGTCGGTGAAAAGGTATTCTTTGTGATGGACTGAAGTTCCTAACTCTAGCCATGCATGAATATCATTACTGTGACAATGTATATATAGTTGCAAAGTACTATTAATGTTCGAACTAAATACCTCCACCAATTAAATTTGCAGTCTAGACACCCCTCGTTTTGTTATTTACTATCGTATAGCTATACTTAAGTTAGGGAATGACGGTTAGTAATTACTGATATGTGTTTATGTGAGATCTTTAGGTAGAATTAATTAGTTGGTCACAATTTATTAATTTGGCATCTTCACTTCCAACAATGATTCTAATTGTGGTTGATTCTGACTATTTTCTGTATTATTCTGAATTTAAATTGAAAAAAAAAATGAATAAATAATGAAAACCAGCATTGGAAAAACTGCACATCAATTGGCAATTTGTGGAGAAATAATAGACTTTCTTGTTCATTTTTTAATTGTTTTTTCGGAACCTTTCAATTTTTAATTGAATAATTTGTTTTCTTCGATAATTGAGAATGTTCATACGAAACTTAGAATTATGTTCTTCAATTCTTAGTGTAATTCTTTTTCTTCAATTCAGACAGAAGGCACAGGCTGCTTGTGTATGAATACAACGACAACTTTTCGTTGGACTTTGGATTAATTTTGAAAAAGTAAAACATAAATCCTATATGTTTGTTATTGTTCTTCTGTTCTATTGTATAGTGGATTTCTTTAATTTCATAGTGGATTTCGATAAATTTATATTTGAATTTCGACAAGTATACAAACGGGTTTTCGATAAATTTATTGTGAATTTCGATAAGGGGCTTGCTATTATCGGTGCGGTTTTTACCACTCGCAATGCAAAATAATTCATTTTTTTTTTCTTTTCCAAATATTATCCAAACCCCCTCTCAAACACTCTCAACCTTAATTTTTTTAAATTCTTCAAATCCAATAATTTTCGACCAATATCAGTTTGAGTACAAGTATTATCAACATGGATGACAACAGCTTCGATTTTGAGGTGAAAATACACGTTTTTTGTTCTTTTCCAACATTTTTAGACATTTCGTGTTATTACACACGAAATCTATTCTTCCATTTCGTGTAATACTATACGAAATATGTCTTAAAATAGTTTTGATGTTTGTTTCGTAGGTTTTGGTACGAAATTTTATATTTAATTATGTTTTATGACAATTTCGTAGTAAAACCTACGAAATTAAAGCTCTTATTTCGTATGTTTTTACACGAAATTGTAGCTTACATTTCGTGTTGTTTCATACGAAATCCCTTAAATATTGTCTTTTAATTTCAAATATTTTTGCAGGAACTAAGAGAACAATCTCACGATCATAGTCACTTCTTTGAACGTGGTATTGTGTATGATAGTAAAGAAGCGTTAATTATGTGGGCACAAGACACAGAAATTAGTCATAATCATCGATTAATCATTGTAAAACAGAAAAAACACATGTTTTAACGTGTGCAAGATATCAAACTGGACGACACGTACTATTGAAGAAACATTCTTGTCCGTTAATTGGCAAAAAATCAACGGATGATGGATTATGGCGATTGAGTGTGAGTAATGGTAATCATAACCATTTGTCGTGTATTTGAAAGTTTAACTTATGTTTAAATTTGTATTTTTTTTAAATTTTGCATTTTAATGTTTAATTTATGTTTTGGAATATCTAAATTTGTAGTGTTGTGTTTTGCATTTTTATGTTTAAACCTATGTTTTTGAAATGATTAATTTGTAAGGTTGTTTGTACTTTGTAAGGTTGTTTTGGAATGTTTAAATGCATACTTTAATTGCTTCATTTGTACGTAGTTTCTAAATTCAAATCATTAAACTAGTAAATTAAAATACAAAAGAAACTAGTAAATTAAATAGTTCGTAATAATAATAAACAAAATTAGTAAAATAATTAGTTCCTAATAATAATAAAAATAAATTATTAAATTAAATAGTTCCTAACAATAATAAAAATGTATAGTCCTAATTATAATAATAATAATAAATAAAAAAAAAACTTTAAAATTAAATAATTCATAAAAATACACAACTGGCAAAAAAATCTATAAACTACCGCCTCGCTCTCCTCGGGGGCTGCACCTCATGATCGTTGTCGTCGTCGTCATCGTTGTTGTCCTGGTCGATGCTAATATATCGGGCGGCGGGCTGCATAATATCTCCAAGGTCGGCACGTAGATCAACAAACTACTGCATCCAGTCCTGTCCAGTGTTTCTAGTGATCGGGTACAATGCACGTATTATTTGGTAATAAACCGGCTTATCTAGTGGCCTCACATTCTCTCGATGCAGTTGAGTCGGGCCTACGTTGGGGTTCGTGATCTTCAGATGAGTCCGATCGTTGTACCAATCCATGTAGTGCTCGTCGACTTCCCCCGTTATCGTGCCGTCATGTATACGTTGGCACGAATGGAACGAGCCTGGACCATGTCCCACATACCACCCGGAAATGGGTAGTTGAATTTGTACGATGCACCTCCTTTGGGACCGCCTAAACATGGCTCCATCGATGGAATCAAGCCGCGCGGAATATCCTGAGCCCACCCGAACTATCGGACGTAACGATCAGGCATATACGGCTCTACGAGCCACATGTACTGGATCGTGCCATGATACAACGTACGAGGGATACTCTCGTGTATCTCCCGACCATATGGTAGCCACTTGACCTAAACAGAAAAAAATATAAATACATAAATCAAAATATTCATATTTAAACAAACTACAATTACATAAAATCGAAAAATTCATATTTAAAAAAAATATAAATACATAAATATAAAAACTTGCATTATCCGTTGTCATATTGTCGAGTAAACCTCGAATATGCTCGAGTGAGACCGCTTTTGGCAGCGCGTTCCACCTCTTGCATCGAGGCTGAAACTCGCGGTACCGTTCGCTCTCCTCCGACGGCTGGAATCTCGGGTACTCGTATATCCAGCACTGCAATATTTTATTTAAAGATATTTAGTGAAATAAACTATAGAGAATATATAAATTTAAAGAGATTATGAAAAAAAAAAAATAAGTACAAAAAATATATTAAAATTTACCTGAAGAAGGGTGGTGCAACCCGCCAAGCTCCTCGACTGTGCTCGACTGCGTATACCCAACTCCCTGTATAGATTGGCCAAATAGGCCGAACCCCACAAATATGTACCGACCTGATCAAGTACTGAATCCTCCAGGACGTGCATATACCACGGCTTCACCCGATCACATGTCTTGTCGGGGAATAAAATCGATCTGACGATAAACACTAGATATATCTGAACTCGGCGTCTCATGGGCGTGTCGAACATCAACAACTGTCCATGTATCATCCTCCATGAGGGGCCCCCATGCTTCCATAACTCGTCAATCTCCTCAAAATCGAGTTTTAATATCTCGGACAGTAAATACACGCAATTTATCCGCTCGATGGTCTCGTCGTACCTAGGCACGACCACCCGTCCCTTCACATTGGCACCTAGAATCATCTGGACATCGTGGAGAATGATAGTCATCTCTCTCCCAAGGCATATGGAAGTTGTTCGTCTCTAGATGCCACCGCTCCATGAATGCAAACAACAGCGGACCATCTATGCAAGGTAAAAAACGGCGGGCTAGGGATACAAACCGGTCATCCGCAGAAAATGCTTGTCTGCAGTGACATCTATGTCTAACTGGTCCAGGGCATCTCCTATCTTCTCGTAGTTGAAATGGTTCAGGGAGTTGATACGGGACTCCACTCGTCCAACCGGGTGTTCCCGCAATCATTTATTTACGAAATATATTAGTTAATCCACTATAAAAATATTTTAATATAAGATACAAAAATTATAATATTAAAATTAAAACAAGTAATTAACTTACTTCTGCCCTCCAAATATATGTCGCTACGTGCGACTTGAAACTCGGAATCAAAGACGGATCCCGCAATCCACCGGGAAATGGACCATCTAGCACATACGGATTGACTCGAGTATGACTTCGACCACCACGAGCTCCACAGCCCCGTGCTCGGCCTCCACAACCTCCACGAGTTACAACCTCTGTCTCGTGAACGGGGTCCACCGCATCCTCCTCCTCCTACATAGCATGGGAAGACTCGACATCGGGATGTGCAACCGATGATCTGGCTTCACCAGCTTTCTCAGCCTCTCGCCTACGTCGTGTAGACATAGTCATGCGCTCGCGCTCTTGATGCTCGGCCTCATCACGAACAGCTCGCATAATTGCCTTTGATTTGCTTTTGTTTGTCATCTGTTAAATAAGACATTATTAACGTCAGTCTAAATAATAATAAATGCAAGCATTGATTTCGTATTTTTTTCCAAAAAATTATTGCAAAATGCCAGAAACACGCATTTTTCGTGCATAGTACCTACGAAAGAAAAGCTTACATTTCGTACGTTTTCTCACGAAATTAAAGCATTCGTTTCGTAAGTGTTTGCACGACTCGTAAAAGAAACAAAAAATTCTAGTAATTTCGTGTAAAAAATCACGAAATTAGCCCTTTAATTTGGTGATTTTTTTTCACGAAACGAGTTTTTTTTTTTTCCGAAAAGTTTCGAAATACTGAAAACGTACAGATTTTCGACGAAATTTGTTAAGATACTACTATGATACATTGGATTAACGATTTCGAATCCGAGTTTTACCTTAAATCGTTGTAGGATTGCTCGTTTAATCCGCGGGAATTCGAAGGGCCGTGGAGAGGGTTTGAGAGGATTTTGAATTTTTTGAAGAAAAGTTACAAATGAATCTAAAGTGCACTGCAAGGCGGTAAAAGCTGCACTATGAATAGCATTTCAGTTTCGATAAGTATATAGAGTGGTTTTCATGTTTATATTGTTGTTTATACAAAATAGTTTTCATGTTTATATAGTTGTTTATACAAAGTGATTTTCATTGTAGTTCCCTCATTCATTTTTCATTTCAACAGATTTATGCAATATTAGTTGGTTGGAAATAATTTGTTTACGAAAGCTTCCCATATTTTGTTCCCACCAACGGTCGCTTGACACCGAGGTTTGCTTTTGGGAATTTGTTTTCATTAGCTAATTTTTTTCTTGTTGAGATTGATTTAGTGACCCTCGTCGGCCTTGTTGGTGGTGGTGTACTGGTCTTGCACTTTTTCTTGGACATAGTAGTGGTTTACGTTTCAAATAGTGGATTTCAAACAGTAAATTTACTTTCTTTTTTTTGTTTGTTATTTTTTGAGTTGTGTTAGTAGTGGATTATATATGTTTTTACTAGATTTCAATAAGTTTGTTGTGTATTATGTTAATATTAAAGTGGATTACGTTAATTTTACAATGAATTTTACAGTAATTTTACAGTGATTTCGATAAATTTGTAGTAGTTTCCGATGAGTGGATTTTAATTTTCGTAACCCTAGTGGGAAAAAAATTAAAAAATTAAAAAAATTGAAATAAAATAAAAGCAAGTTTTTGTTTTAAGATTGAAATTTTAAAAAATATATTTTTTCTGGAAAAAAAAGAAGGAATAAAAAGAATTGGAATGATGTTAGATTTAGGGAATTGCTTTTTGGGGTTTGAAAATTGCTATTTGCGGTTTTTAACAAAACCCCCCAAAAAACACTTTATTACACTAAAACCTCAAAACTTCCCAAAAAAATCCAACCCCCCCTC